GACAGCCTCCTGTCAATGCCTGTGGGGCTGCAGACCCCCTGACACCACCCTCCCCCTGGAGACAATGCATCCCAAGGAAGCCAAGCACCCTCCTGGCCTTCAGAGATGTTCCTGCTTTGTACCCCAGCTACTACCATCAGCAAAGTTCGAAAGTTTGAACAGATTAATCATTAAAAACCTCACTAAGCTCTTGATCACAGTTGTGTCTTGCAGTGTGATCATCAGAGAATAATTTCACATTTTCTTGATGTGCATTTTCAACTAGGCTTTGGAGGAAGTACTCACGGAGATGCCTTTGGCACCTTAGGAGATGGTGCAAGCCCACCCTTACACCTCAGTGGGAATGCCCAGCCAGCCATCAGGTCAGTGAAGAACCAGGAGCAGGGACCTCTGCTCCGGGAGGTGCAGCCAGCACCAAGCTGGGCAGCCACGCATGGCTGGGCTACAACCCTCGTACTGCTCCCAGCCCTCCACCTCCTGCTGCGCCACCCGCCCTTCTGCATTAGGCTTTGTCTAAAGAAAAATACGAGTATTTCTGTTCAGCATCAAACTTTTACAGGTAGCTTTCAGGGAAATGTAAACTTGCTCCAAGACTAGAGCTGAAATGGAAAATTGTACAGAAATACACATGCCAGAGGAGCACTTGGGAGTTCAGGAGCTGGAAGAGTTAGGTCCAAGCCATGCAGGGCCTACTAAGCTTGTAACATTAACAGGGATGTACAGCCGCTTTTCCACCTTTCAGGCAACTCTAACACAATGGGTCAGTGACTTTTTCACTGAAAACTTTACAAGTGTTTTCTGTGTTAGGGTTTTAAAGAGTGGTGATTTTTTTTTTTTTTTTTTTTTTTGAGCTTGGAGGTGGTGTTTTGTTTCTGGTCTGATTTTTAGGGGATCTGGATAAAAATGACAGCCAGAAACACACGGGCCTATACATCCCAAAGGCAGTTTATGGGCACAGCGAACCAGAATAAGGATATCTGCTTGCAGAACCTTTATCCACCAGTTTCATATTTATAACCAGCAATCAGCTGCTGAGAGCGATGCAAGCATCTCGTACCAACAGCTCGCGAGCGACATTTCTGTTGAAGGGAAAGTCCTGGTGACTCAACGGCCAGACCTGCGTGGTGGTGCACGCATTGGCAGCAGAAAAGCCCTGTGGCCTGTGACAGTTTCCCAGAGGCTCAAATCTGCTGGATATAGAAGTGTTTTGCCAGGACTATGCCCTGTAATAAAGGAGCACAGACAGGAGTCCGAGACTTGGAAGAGTGAGGAAAACAACAAGTGTGATTCAGCATGTGAACATTTTGCTCTTTTAGGTTAGAGACTGGTCACAGCACCAGAGGACAAGGAACAGAGTCATCTGCCAGCGTCGGAGAGGGAAGTGAAAGAGGCAGGATATTAAACTTGGGGTAAAGAGAGGGAGAGCAGCAAGGAACAGAGGAAACCTGCAGGGAAAACACCTATGTACGCCCGCTTTCAGCTCTAACTGAAGCAGCATGCTTGCTCAAACAGGCCGCAACAAATCACCTCCCATTCACCAGCAATCGTTTAACGCGCACCTTTCTTGTTTCTCTGCCTACACTTGACAGCAGCACTCCTGCGCGCTTTGTAAATTAGCAGGAGGATGTTACGTCGCAGTGATGTACCACTGACGTGCCCCTTGCGCATCAGCAGATTTCACCCCTGCACTCCCACAGTAAAGCAGCAGTCCCCACGGCAGCGTCCGCTGCCCTGCTTCGTTGCGGGGATGTCGGAGGATACCCTTGGCCCCAGACAAGGAAAGACCAAAGCCTCAGGATTGAAAAGTTAACATTTTATTGAACTTTAATTGATGTAGGACAGAGGGGCAACAATGGCTCAAGTGTTCTTTAACAAAATGCCCCAGGATGTTTCACGTACAGAGTCTTAATACAGTTTGCATGGCAACAATCGAAAAAAAGTTGTAAAACACTCTCAAAGTCCTAAAGGGGGATTCACAACCACGCTTTAAGCCTTCACATTCCCAAATACTGTCCTCCCTCGATCAATTCCATATCCTTCCCCAGGAGAAGGTCGGGGAATTGCTGGCCACATCCCTCCCCCATCAGGTACAGAAACAAACGATAGTGAACTTATGAGAAGAACTATACTTCAAAGTAGCCATAGGTCTTTGCATGAATCAACACTTAGGTACCTAGAAAGACAGGTTATTTAAAAAATTTAAATAAAAGCTAATTTTAAAAAAGCTAACGAATGAGCAAAATTACAATATCAACACTCTAACCCAATTTCTGTTTAAAACCTGTTGAAGTGAATCGCCTCCAACACTCGTCTACATGTTTTATAAAAGATTTGAGTATTACTTTTTTTTTTTTTTTTTTGATAACTGACAAGGTGAACTTAAGGAGTTCTTAAAACTTAAAAGCAGTCAAGTGAGCTGCTCACAGTTTAAAGAATATCTACAATTAAAAACCAGAACTACTTTGGGCACAGTTTTTCCTCCCTCAAACCCCAACAAGATTTAAAACCAACCCTCTTAACCTACGCTTTCTTCAGCCAACTGGAAAGGGCTACTGCCTCCCTTTCCACCACGTACATTTGATGAACTGTAGTGAGATTCACAGTTTCCACGAAGGAGGCGTGCACTGTTGCCCCTTCTCTACATCAATCACTTGCTTTTTATTTGTAGTAGTGTATCCCCAGCCAAGACGCCACCACGGGCAATGTTCGTTTCTCTGGGCCAGCAGGCCAGTTCTACAGGAAAGGCAATACTGCAGGCAGAGGCTCTTGACCTCTGCTGAACAGGAATGTCGACTCCAGGGAAACAAGAGATATGTAGATTTATAGCACTGTTTTGCAATACCTAGACTGTCAGGTATGCTTGCAAGGCTTCAGAAATGCTCAATGCCAACAGGAAAGCCTTCCATTAAGGCCTTTACAGTAGCTTGTCAGGTCTGATGATGATATGCAGTGCTGGACCTCTGAAGTACCACTAACCCCCAGCTGCAACACACACGCAGCCTGTAAACCACAAGACGCATGAGAATACAGGTCAACGGTAAAAGGCAGGGGGAAAAAAGAATTTAAAAGATTAATTAACTGCACCAGGTCTCGGTTACACAGCGACCGCAGTATGAATAGTCGCAATGCACAGAGACAGTTGTAGCAGCATTGTGTGCCCCGTAACGGCAGTCAACATCAGATCCAGGCACACAGCTCAGATAAAGAGCACAGAACGGCCGAAACGGGTCCCAGCATCAGGAACTTCACGTTATTTTAATCTGAACAGCCGCTTTGTCTCTAGGTTGACAGCTAACTGCCCAGCGCAGCTGCAGCAGAACTGCAGTGAATTCAACGGTGAATTTGACATTTATACCTGGGCGTTACTGCGCGCATACGCTCAGTCCTTAAACCCCGATGGATGCCGCTCTTCATGGGAAGCAAGAAGTCTTCTCTTCATTTTGCCATTTGAAATGCAGAGTTGAAAACAACTGTACTAGCCCAAGTGACTCAAAAGTCAACCTGGTCTCAAGTAGGTAACATAAACATCACTGTCATGCAACAGAAGGGACGCATCTTGCTTGCTGTTCCATCATCACGAACAGAACGCCTTTGAACCCACAAATTTAAGGCAGAAGTTCAATTGCTCCCATTTAACTGAATGCATGTTTTCTGGCAGTCAAGCATTTTCTGGTTTACAGTGATACACAACAGTTGTTTTTTTTTGATGCTGGAGATAAAGTCTGTTAGCGATACCACCAAAATTTTGGCAAAAATTTCACAATCAGATTTGTAAACATAATGCTTCCCTTTTCAATTGGCAGCATTCTGAAAACACAGTAAGACACACAAAGATTTTGCTCAACTTTGATGAAATAACCTGTGTTTTCACATGATAAAGTAAGCAATGGTTTACATCAAAATAAACCAACAAACTGCATGAAATGAAAGTTTGTGCTGTTTGATGATCACAGTATTTTATAGCTAAATACATCTGTTCTTTGTTATACTCCTGGCACCCAGGACAAAAATCTTTAAATATATATTTCACGTAGGCAATAGATTCTTCGCATATCTCTCTTCAAAAAATACTTTATAGTAGTATATAAATAGGTAACCTACTTGTTTAATTATATAATCTCGTCCCAAAACTATATATGTTTCATTTTTATTAAAGTATCAATTTCCCCAATACTATTAAAGCTGACAAACTATTGAAATGGAAATGCTCTCATCTTCCACATCGGAAGTAGCAATTTTATAGGAAAAACCTACAGCAACACTCGTCAGTTGTTTTAACCTGAGCGTTTGGCCTACTTAGAGTAGCAGCTTTTTGTTTCCCCATCACGCATGCTCACACCCACACGTTCTTGCACACACACAGTACAACCATACACTCCCAGACACTGGTAGGCCACATAGTGCTTCCCAGGTGCTTCAAAGTGGGAAGCAGTGTAGCTAATAATTTAACCACACGAAATATACACAAGCAAACACCTTAAGGCAACCACTGCAACGGCAGGTTTAAGTTGCAGGGTGAGTTTTTGTTGTAACAAAACGGGCTGTATACAGCACGTATACATGCCTCTTTAACCCTCTAAACAATGTGACTTTTTTTTTTAATTTTGTGCAAATGTCTAAACTTTCTACCATTTAAGGCAAAGAGTTTGCATTAACAAGAAAGGTCAGAAAACAGACTTATGTTTATGCAAAAGCATTTAAATTTGCTACAATATTTTCTTAAAATGTGTATGACTTCATATTAGAGGTACTGGGTCCCCAGCGCCTACTGAAAAAATTATTTCAATGGACAAACATAAGTCTTGAAGAAAAGAAAGGACCAGAAAAAGCAGCTTCAAATACGCACATAAGCAACATATACAACAACAAAAGTAAAGTCTGCTAATACTGAAACTTCTGTAACGCAAAACTTTAAAAGAATTTTTAGAATCTTAGAGCGACTAATCTTTAAGTTTAAATAAATATGCTTCAGTTCATTCACATGTCCTGGCCAAAGCAGACTAGTGCGATGACTTTGCTTGCTGTCTGTCAAATTCCCTTATTAGTCTCTTAATATGAGACAGCTTGTTGTGGAGATACTCGCATCTATACTTCTCTTCATAGTAGTTGGGGCTAGACTGTAAAGACAAGACAAAAAGAAAATTAGGGCATGAAAACACTTCTGCAGAGTTCAGCATTTCATGTCCTTCGCTTAAAAACAGCCTTGAGCCAGTCCCAGTGATTACTGCCTCCCACAAATCTGGTCTCACACATACCTGCTTTATCTTTTGATACTCTTCTAAGACTTCCTCATGAAGCATCTTTGAGGAAAAAAACCACAAGGACAATATGAAGAACATTTCACTACTACCAGAAAATGCAAATTTATATAAAATACTAAGATACTCAAGGTCTTCTCAAGATATTTTCTTATCCATGAGCCACCACTCTCTTGCATTGCAAAAATAAACCCCCAACCCCCCGTATCACCCAAGATCTGCAATTAAACCTGTAAACAGCCAACTGCAAATTCTCAGTTTGCACACAGAGTTAAAGAATTCTGACACTGAACACATGGAAGTTGTATGTCCAAATCAGGCAAGTCCAGGCTGGAAAGACAAAATACCATGTTTTTAACACCCTCCTCTGCTAAAATTGTAGCTAGAATCAGTCACCTGCAAGATGAGTAAGTGGTGTCTGTAGGTCTTGTTAAGTGTATAAAATCATAGTAAACAGAGGGTCAGGAAAGCCTTGGGATTATGGCCGCCTGATTCCACATGCTACCGATCTTCCCTCCCTGGTCTGAGTAACAGCACCCCTCTGCCTCGCCAGGATGCTGAAGTGGTCAGGTCAGCACGCCCCGAGCCACTCTGGTAACTCCAGCTATGCAACCAGTTACTCAGACACTGAACCTGGCAAGCCTTTTAAAGCTGCATCAATATAATTTCATACATAAATATACGGAAGAGTCTGCCTGTGCTGAAAACATGGACTTTTGGAACGGATAAGAGTGAGAAGAAACACAACCTTCACAGTTTTATCCTTCTTTACCTGATATTCTTTGGACTCTGGAGAAAGAAGCTTCCACTGCGCCTCAAGCTTCCTGAATTTCTTGGTGACACTCTCCATCCGAGCATACAAGTTTCTGTACTCGTCATATTCTGCATTGAAGTCATTCTTGTAACTCTGGCGTTGCTCGTACGAGACTATAGTGATGTATTTACTAATGGAAAAATAAGCACACATGCAATTTTACACCAAGGATGGTTCTTAGTGAATATCAAGCACAGACATCCATGCTTTAAATCAGTTAACTATGTTAACTTTCCTTCCACACATGAGCACATGTGCTACAACAGAATGTATTTAAGCAATTACAGAAAATACAAAGGCAAATACAGAAGTTACATATTTTTATGACAGTTATTTGATAATATTTTACTGTTTAGAGTTTTTATTCAGAATCTGTGCAAAACCCCAAAAACACAGCATACTTAAAAAACATTTGTTATCATTCAAATATAGAAGGACTGACACAGACATCAGTTTCAGTGAGAGAAAAACTGCTAGATTATAATATCATTCTACGAAGGGACAGGTTAATGAAGTCATATTTACTTTTGAAAACTAATTTTCATTACATTTTTGGAAGGGACTGCATTTATGGAGTTGGACGCAGTCTAGTTTTTCAGCTACATTCGTGCCTATCTAACAGCAAAGCATAGTTAATGATAAAACTTGATTACTTGAGTGAACACCAGTTTCTCTGTTGTCTGTTCAACTAAGGCACATGCAATACTGCAACAAAAAACAATTGTAGAAAAGTCTGAAACTAAAAAACGCCCATTGCATCACCTCCTAAGGAGGGCAAAATCCATAAACACTTAAAGCCACTGATGTAACTGAAACTTTCCTCATTCCCCTCTCCCTCAAATCAACATCAGCGGATTTAACAAGTTTATTATAGACATCCAAGATGAAGTGGCAATGCAAGTAACAGATATCATTTCCCACTGCCAGTGCACCAATACTTCAGGTCCTCCTAGCTGAAAGACCTGGTTCTCTTTGGATGACACAGGCATCTCCACACGGGGACGAATCCTTCAAACCACCCGTAGATTAGTTTCAATGAGCAGTAAAAATTTAACAAGCCTGAAAACTTTTCCTGGTGATGTATCCCAGGCCAGATGCACTCAATTAGAGTGCTAGACGGTTTTTAAAAGAAAACTAAAGAGGACTTCAGCATTTTGGGACATACTGGTGAAGCGACAGTCTGGTGTACTGGCTCACACACAGTCACATCCCACAGCAAGGGTCTGAACGCAGGACAAGAGCGCAGCAAAGCACTCGTAATGTAAGTGTGTGGAGAGGGAAGAAGGGTCAGGAGTGAGGAGAAATGTGAATCTGTTTTGTTTTGCTAGCTTTTGCTGAAACGTTGCTTAAAAAGCTTGAGTTTCTCTACTCTCATCATCTTTACATTAACATGGAAAGTACCTAAAGCTGTGATTATACTTATGAACTACGCAGCACTAAAGAGACATGAAGAGAAGCTGGAATAAACTACCAAATCCTTTAAATGGGAGCACACTGCATGTGCTCTGAGGTTTCAATCTTTCTGTAACTATCAGGCAGATGTCTGAAACAGCTCGACCTAATTTTTTTCCAGGGCACCGTAGCCAGTAGATTATCTGTGAGATTGTTCCAGACGTTGGTCCTTCCACAGGGAGATCTTCACTAAAGTTTTTAATCCCAATCAAGACCAAACCAACTTCATGAAATCTTGTATGAAAGCTTTTATCTTTTGGTTTTGTTTTAACTTTTGGCAATAGCTATTGGCATCCAACTTTAATATTAGATTACATCAAACAACCATATACCTTACTCCTCAGTATGACTGCCCTCAGCTGATGGGGCAGCAGACAGCTAATTGCTGAATCTGTTCATTTTCACCCAGCAGAGGCTGGGAATTAAACGCAGGTTTGAGTTCTCAGCACCAAAAGCCTTTTACAGCAAGTTCTTTAATACTTGTCATGGATGAAAAAATTTTTGATATAGCAGGTAAATTTCAACTTTTGGGAATGTTAATCTCACACATGACAACTTGTTAGTGAGCTAAAATTAAACGCACCGGGAAGTCCTGTAATTTTATAAACTGCAATATGCCAGTCATTGTAGATACGTAACATTTCACATGCAAGTTTATCTTGCTTTGTAGTAAAAACTAAGCACCTAGAATTTAAAATTTTCTATTTTCTCTAACTCTTTGGTCTGCAATTCCATGGTGAAATTGGATATTTTGCTGTAGCTTCAAGTTCATCAGTGGCCATTTTACATCAAAGCTCTAGAAGTAACTTTGATGGTTAACCCGTTAGCTCCTATATAGGCTTTGTAATCCTGGACTTTAAAGTCTGCTATTGTCCAGCTCCACCTTTCCATCTTAGATGCACTAAGCAGTGAAAACACAGGAAAGATGTTCAAATTTACATATTTGGTGGTTTAGCATTCAGCTTTCACCCTGTATTGCCTCACTTCTAAAAAGAAAACAGTGCACGTTCAAATTCCTTTTTTATTGTGTTCTTCAAGAAGAATGAAATTAATTGTTTCAAGTCTTCTTCTAAAGCATATTAAAAATTCTTTTTAACAGTTCTTTTCCCCCACAATAATTAAGGGACAACCCCAAAGTTTAAAACTTGTGCACAGTTGAATAAGACAGCTGGGTGACTTAAAGGAAATTATCATTATTCTAAAATTTACCAAATACCTTTTGGTAATTTTTCAATTTAGTAGCTAAACAAGAGTTTTTTATAGGTGATTTTTCAACTGCTCCAGCAAGTGGCAAGAGACATAACCGTTATTTTACTCACACCAAGTAGTCTGGTTGTTCACTTGATGAAGAAGGATCTGTAGAGTCAGTGCAAGTTTCTTTAACTCCTACAGAAAAGCAGAATTTTGACACTTGCAATAAACAGATTTTTAATACAGTCAAACAATACCAACCTGAGGGGCTTGAAAAAGCCCTTGATAGTTTTATTCTCACAGTAAATTACTTGTAATAAGCTCTACAAGTTAACAATAGGGCTCACATGACCTTCTCCACAGTAGGCAGTACTGGGGTTTAGAAAGAGGGCACGGCTACTTATTCTACAGGTTCTGCACTACTACAGTATTAACCTGAGGTCAGCTTTTCGTATTTGAATACACGATGTGGCATATGCACAGCAATTCAAGTTATGCAGCAACAGATGTAGCTGCACAAAAGACAACAGCTTGATAGAGAGAGAGAGAGATATACACATCTCAACATCCAGGTTCCAGCGAGAAATAGAGAAAGCTGAAGTTCCTTCCATGCCATGATTTTAACCCTCCTTCCCTGACAATTACGGATATCCAAAGTTAGATTTAATTTCAGCACTCTTCTAAGCAGGAAAGTCAATAGCATTGTACATGGGTTACTGGCATTCAGGCTTCAATAACCTGCAACAAAGGCTTGCTCCTCATTAACGTGGCAATACTGGGTTTGAAAGTTATTTGCACTTGTAAATTTATTCTTTTGCTCTTTTAAATCCATTATGGAAGCACAGTACATTTAATCTCCAATCTCTCTTTTTAAAGGAATATTTCAGGAGCTCCTTATCTTCTTGATAAATAAAAAAAATAGCTGCTGTAAGGAAAAGTTAGCTGGAAAAGGAAGGAACACTCAGTATCTTGGTAATCTCTCTCTGCTTTTCATTTGGGGTTTTGTGGCAAGCTTAGAAAAACCACACAATCCTTTACATTCATTATTATCTTACATGCCCACTGTTTAAACATAGTATTTCTGCTAAAGCTTAACCATTCTTGCCAATCTCTAAGCTATCTAAGCTTCAAGTCATGGGCAGAGAAAAGAGCTATCGTGCAATGTTCTACTCGATGCTTTTGCTTTTAATACCAAAATTATTACATGGTATAGCAGTAGTATAAAAACAAGAGTAAAAGTGGGAAGAAAATTCGAGAGAAATGCAAACAGTAATATTGTCACAGTATGTACAATAAAACTTATGTGAACAGTTTTGCTGCGAGCATTTCATTTCCAAAAATTCAAGTGAGTTTGTTGGCACCGCTCAGTCCACTTGAGAGCTTCAGCATAAGCACCACCTTGAAACATAGGACAGATTTTTCCTTCCCTAGCTGCTCAGAATTTTGTTACTGGCTTCTGTAGAAAGAGGATCACGTGTTCATAAATTCAAGCATGAATCTTTTCAAAGCAATCCCAAGCCACCCAGGCGTTGTGTAGTGTGGCCAGGGTAAACGTGAAACAACCATCTGAAAGCATGCTTATCTACAAGCACAACACCACTTCAAAGAGGCACCCTGCATGCCGTAAAGATGCCTCCAGGCTGTGATAGGAAAGGGCTATACCTCACTTCTAATTTGCGAGTCAAACCTCTGAAATTAGGACACACGGATTTAATTTAACAAAGGAACTGAACTCTGCCCTATTTTGTGTGTGTGTGTGAAGAAATGAAGTATTCTTCGTATTCAAGTATTCAAGTTTCTCTTTAGCTTTTCAATGACATTTTAAGTGTGTACCATTTCTACATCTTTTGAAGCAATAAATTCTGCAGCTAAGATGGAGAGGAGCTCACAGCGCAGTTCAAACCCAAACTCAAGCAAACCACAGGCCAGTTTAGGTAGGTTTTAGACTTTACATGAAAAGGCAGAGTTTGACAAACGTTGTGTTTTGATACATGATGAAATACATTTATGTCTGATCTATATGTTTCAGTAAACTAGTATGCAGTAAGTGTGTGACAGGTTTTTATCTTCAGCACGCAGACTTTAAAACTTGCTGACGGAAAAAGTGGAGTAAGTTTCAGTGAACCGTCAGTTTAGTGGAAACCAAGCACACACACAAAAAATCCATTCCTTCTGTTTTTCTGGTACCTAGCTCTTCCTTTTAACCAGTTTCTGCCCAACAGGAATCCATTTAAGATTTCTTTGTTCTAACGATTTTTGTACTATAGAGTGAGAATTCTTAAAAATTAACCTAATTTTAGATAAGGGTCCTGCAGAACGGCTTTTGGGTTTTGTTGTGGTTTTTTTTTTTTTGCTTTTTTTTTCTCTAGACTAACAGTTACAATGTAATGCAATGGCAGGAAAAAAATACTGATTCTTCATGACCATAAAGTCGGGATAACGGCAAAGCACTTAATATAAGCAAGTGAAAGCAAGTGGAAAAATAGACTATTACTGTTTCCAGTCCCTGGTTTTCCTGGTCCCTTTACACCAGGGTTACCCATATTGTTGTCAAGAAAAGCAGCATATTAATACCTTCACATGAATCCAAATAGGAAGATTTTTTCAGCTTGGCTGTTTCTACTTTTCTAAGGTCCTCTTCCTCCACACTCCCACTCATAGTGTCCTGCATTTTGCTTTTGTTGTTCTTACGCTCCTTCACCTCATTGGGCTGTTGGTGCAACACCGCATGCTTCTTGCCTGTGGACTTGGGATGCTCCACCCACATCGCGGCAGGCGCTGGGATTCCCAAAGGAGTCTCAGAGGTATATTTTCGTTGCTGGTCCCCATAAACATTACTATTCCGACTCAAGCTGTCCATTGGCAGGTCTTGCATCCCCTGCCCCTCGGGGGTGCTGGGGGAGTTGGAGCTAGCAGTCTGAGGAGGGCTGGAAGCGGGAAGGAGTGTGCGACGCAGCAGGAGAGGAGCGGGAGTAGAGGGGGGGGGCGGAGGCGGCAGACAGGCGGCAGCGGCTTTGTCGCTGGAGGCAGGCAAGTGGCGGTTGTACAACAGCTGCATTCGACTGGTCAGGTGAGATATCCTCTGCTTTTTGTTCTTCAGAGGATCAATAAAATTGGTGTCCCAGAGCCTTTTCTGTAATAATAAAAAAACCCATTAAAAACATGATATGAATTAAGTTTTGCTCCCATTCTGAAAAAGGAGCATTTCTGAACAGGCAATTGTTGAAAACACATCTTTTTTTTTATCTAAAAATAGCTGTCAAACAAGGAAGTACTGCAGCTAAACACATGTTTTATTTCATTCTTAGTTTCTAACCTTACGGTTTAGCAAGCTGTTCTTCAAGTCTACAGGTAAAAGGCTTTGTGAGAAAGACCCTCTCTTCAGCAGCTCTACCAAAGGCTTCACCAAGACGAGGAGGTCAGGTCAGTACTTTTTAGACACCGATTTCCGCTCGGACATACTGGGTTAAGAGCCAGCATTTGCTGCCACAGAGCCATGTGACTGACCGGCCAATAAGCAGCACCAAGACGCACACAGCAGCGTGCTTATCAGATGCATGAAGTCCAAAGCTGATAAGAACAGGTAAAGCCCCCAGAGTTTTGCTCCAGCTGTTGCTCCAGCTGAAACACTGGCTCACATCCTCCTCTCTAGCAAGCATACGCTGCCCACGTTGATACACGAGCAGCAGCTTGGACCAGGAGTGCCAGGCACGGCTCTGTGCCACCCTGCTGAAACAAGTCTAGACTCTGTGTGTATAGAGGTCCCTGGGACCTGCACTGTTTCATGCTCTGACTGGAAGAAAGTTTGGCAAAACCAGAGATGTCCCTCCCTCCTCTATTTAAACGTAAATATCTCAGTGGTGAACGACTTTTCCATACTTCCCAGCTTATGGCTGCACACTGCATACACTGCTGTACTCTTCAGTGTGTTTCAGAGCAGCTGTAGTCACAGAAAGGATCAAACTCTTCCTTAAAGTAATGCCTTTTATGCCGAGTTTTCCAAGCTTCTGCATTGTCCTCTCGTATTGATAGTGAAACAGGGCATATGCATTTTAAGTCTGAAAAGGCTGGGGCAAAGCAGATATACTACCTGCTGATTCAGATCTGCCTTTTCACACCTGGGCTGCCCTGAATCAAAATGGGTGCTTAAATAACGCCTATAGGAAAAAAAAGTAATATATATATATATTCCTCCAAGTGGATTCCTATTGTAATTTGTCCTTACTCTAGACTTCCCTAAGCTTTATATTTAAACAGTCGTACAAGGATGTTTCCACGTATTTTAGGAATTACAACTATTACTATTTTATGCATTATAACCTTGACACATGCAACCACGTAACAAAAACACACACATCTCTTGTCTTGATAAGACCTTCCTGTGCACCAAGATAAGAAAGTTATGTGGCAACACAAAAAAGTTTTAAGTATTTAACCAGAAAGTACAGGTTGTATAACTGTGATGGGTAACCAAGAAGTCAGCAGGTGAGTTGAGGCTTCTGTAAGGTCAACATGCTGGCTGTTCGACACGATGGTAGTAGTCTCTGCCAGAGATTTACATGTATTTACAAAACACTGTGTAGACAGGAATTGTTTATTTTTCTGAATATTTTAATAAACATTCTGAAATACAGAATACTAAATATAGCAGCCCTTAAGCTACGTAACTAAGTTTTTTCGCAGCCTTTGACAGTGCAACCACCGTCAAAAAATATAATCAACTAGAAATGAATGCTTCAGGTTTTCATGTGTTAAAGACAGTATTAGTGCTTCATATCACAGCTTTTACACCAACACAAAGTGTGATAAATCTTAATACACTGTAAATAACATTTTTAAAAAATCAAAAAAATACCTGAGGAGTTGATGGAGCACTGTTATTAGAAGATACAGAAGATCCTAAATGACTGGTGCTGGTGGCATTCTGAGACGAATTTAATTTGCTGTAAGGATGACCCAACATTTCAGGTTACAATGCAAGAATGTCTATGTCACAGTTCTTTCATTATAGGGAAGACAGATATTAATTTCCCAGGAAGAGTTTTTTTTAAATCGCTATTTTCCTTCCCCTAGAGACTGAACTTACCTAGAAAGTATTAACTCCAATGACTGTTTATCTATTTCATTGTATCCAGGCCAATCTTTTTGAATCTCTTTAAATAAATAATCCTTCAGACTGTAAGAATTATCCTTTGGATTCAGGATGGCTACCTACAGGCAGACATTTAAGAAAATAAATGTTCATTATACCTAAACGCATACTCCAGAAATAAGATTGGTACTGTAGAGCTAAATCAAAGCTGAAAACTAAATTATCCACCAGTTTTCCAGGTTTTTTAGATGTGATGATTGAAGCAGCTCTCATGGAATGAGCACCAATTTTAAAAAACGTGGTCAGTTTGGGACGTAGAAATTTTGATGTAAGAAAATCCCAAACTGCTGCAAGCATGTTTGAAATGTACTGTATGAAAACCTCTCTCTGCACCATGTACCTGGTTTCTTGTCTTTAATACAGCATTGAGAATCAAGACAAATTATGCCAAAACTGTAAAGCTTCACTGCCTGAAATACGTTGAGAGGCCTAGTTTTTTATTTTTGTTTATTTTTCTTTTTTAAGAACTGAAGAACACTGTCTCCACATACAAATTTGAAGTTGTTCAACTTCAGGAGGACACCTGCTGTTCTTTTGTTTTACACAGCTATACTGCGACACAAACTGTGCCTGGAATAATGCATATTTTCTGTCATCACACTAATGACCACACTATGTCATCATTTGTCTTGATAAACAGAATTGCTTTTCTTTCTCAAGTGCCTGAGCCACAAGAAACTATAGCTTTGTACTGAACACTTGTATGTGATAACCTAACTAGCATTAAACATCTACTTCTACTACAAAGATGAATTACTAATCTATCCCATTAGTTTTAAGCTGTACCAAAGTTTTACCTATTGGAAGAAAAGTAACTGTACTTGTATCTAACAAGTTGTATTTTGAAAAAAAGATTTAGAGCTAAAATGTGCAAGGAAGAGAGGTACAGGCCCAGATGCACACTTCAATTTGCAGACACAGCGTTCATGACAGCAAAGTACTGTCATGAGAAGGTTGTGTGCATGCCTTGCCATACACTTTTGAAAATAAAATGGGTTTATATCTTCCTTAAGAAAAAAGTATACTCAAAAGTTAAAATGAGCTAGTAAACCCTTGAGACCATTGACACCTAAAGTGCTGGTTTAGACTTCATCAACTGACATGCGTTCAGACTTTCAGAGAAAAACTCAAAGAAAAACAGTCTCTGCCAATTTGCCTGACGCAAACTGCTGAATAACTCCACACACCACCTCTTTTCGCAGCCTTGCCTATTTTTTCCTGCAAAACATGACAGATAAATACTGCTAATTCATGTCTGTGTGCATGTCTCTTCTGCCCCCATCTTAAAAAAATTGAAAAGTAACAAAGATAACCTGAAACTGTAATTCACTTGTTAAAAAACAGAACTAAAGCTGTATTCGAAGAGAAGCAAATCTGTGCGTATTAGATCTTAGCAAGTTCAGGCTGCTGATTTTAGATTTGTACAAAAAAAAAAAAATCATCATGAAGCTAAGAAAAACATGAGCAAGGCTTTCCGGGGTGCAGTGCTGCTAACATGACCATTTCTGAATGCAAACCGGTACACCCTGAGGCAGTTCACAACACATACAGGGAACACATCAAGAAAGTCTCCTTAAACATTCCCAAGCATAATGGGACAGGGGAAAATTTTTGCACCGTTTATCTTCTAGGGAGCTGAACTTTTGGAATTTTATAATCAGCTTAAAGAATAAACTGACTGCTTCAATTCGTATATAAGAACATTGCCATTCAGGGTGAAAAAATCCTATCATTGCACTGGCCAAACAAAGCAGCCACACTTAACATATTCAAGGAAGGAGTTTTTAAAATTCAGTGTAGGATAAACCAAAGCTGTATAAATGTTGAATTTTACTCACTCTAATAGGTTCCAAAATACTTTTTTCCTAGATAAATAGGAAAGATTCCTACTTTATACATTAATACATGCATAATTCAGCCACAGTCTCTGGGTACAGGGAGTATTTAAAAAGTAAGGGAGGAGTCAATGCATCCTACAATACTTTAAGAAGACTTTTGTGAACTGTTTTAACAGAAAACAAGTGACACTTCTGAACACACAGCTTCACCCATACACAGTTTCACCTGTACAACGTTGCAGGGTTACCAATAATTTTGACAGATATCATAAAGAAATACAAGTGGAATTTAACTGAAAGTACCATTCAATATATTCATCAATGACCTGGACGAGGGAACAGGGTGCACTGTCAGCAAGTTTGCCGATGACACAAAACTGGGAGGAGCGGCTGACGCACCAGAAGGCTGTGCTGCCGTTCAGTGAGACCTGGACAGGCTGGAGAGCTGGGCGGGGAGAAATTTAATGAAATACAACAAGGGCAAGTGTAGAGTCTTGTATCTGGGAAAGAACAACCCCATGTCCCAGTCTAGGTTGGGGGCTGAGCTGTTAAGAGAGTAGCGTAGGGGAAAGGGACCTGGGGGTCCTGATGGAGAGCAGGATGACCATGAGCCAGCAATGTGCCCTCGTGGCCCAGAAGGCCAATGGCATCCTGGGGTGTATTAGAAGGGGTGAGGTCAGCAGGTCGAGAGAGGTTCTCCTCCCCCCTCTGCTCTGCCCTGGTGAGATCCCATCTGGAATAGTGTGTCCAGTTCTGGGCCCCTCAGTTCACGAAGGACAGGGAACCGCTTGAAAGAGTCCAGCGCAGAGCCACAAAGGTGATGAAGGGGGTGGAACATCTCCCTTCTGATGAAAGGCTGAGGGAGCTGGGTCTCTTGAGCTTGCAGAAGAGGAGACTGACCTCATTAATGGTTATAAATAAGTATAGGGCGAGTGTAGGAGGATGGAGCCGGGCTCTTCTTGGTGATGGCCAATGACAGGACAAGGGGCAACAGGTACGAGCTGGAGCACAGAAGGTTCCACATTAACATAAGGAAAAACTTTTTCACTGTGAGGGTGACAGAGCGCTGGAACAGGCTGCCCAGAGAGGTTGTGGAGTCTCCTTCTCTGGAGACATTCATAACCCACCTGGACACATTCCTGTGTGACCTGCTCTGGGTGGTCCTGCTCTGGCAGGAGGGTTGGACTAGATGATCTTTCGAGGTCCCTTCCAACCCCTAACATTCTGTGATTCTGTGAAAGGAGCACTGGAAAAGCTACTGAATATAAAAAGGTTTCAAGTAAGATGAAGACACCATCCACATGACAGCAGAGAAGCGCTATGCTCAAAATTGGACCACCACCTTTTTCATTTACACTTTGGCTGGAACACCCTTCCCTGGACTGCAATTCCAACAGGTCCCAAGAGAAGCCAAGTACCATTTACAGGCCACCAACTACGTTCAAATTAAATACTAACCTATGTGATTACCAAGCTTCTCATAAGCTCGTCACAAGAAATATTAAGTTGTATGACAAACTATTCCACACAGTCAAGAGAATGCATGGTCAGTTTCTCTTAATCATGCAGTTAAGCAGTCCAAGTACAAGACAGAGGGGAAAAGAAGACATTAGAAGCCACACAGCTAGAAATAGCTAATTATTGCCTGCCATTGTAGCAATACAAAAACATTCCCCAAAAGTTTTCTAATCTTTCTTTTCTTTCCTCACGTTGACTTGCAGTTTGTGGCATCTGTATAAAGTTTATTGAAAAACTTGAACAAAGAGCATTATGTAAGGTTTTTGGTATTTTCCGATTTAAACACTGGAGTAACACAGCTCAAAATGATAACTAAAAGAACAGCGGGAGGGAAAAATTGCTGGCACAAACTCCATGATCTTACCTGCTGAAGGATAGTTCCAAGACAATTCTTGTCCTTTTGGTTGATACCATCTCTATGCAAGCGAACAAGTAACTCTGGTTTCTTGTAACTCCTCAGAGCCAGTAAGTGAATCACCCTGTCCCTGTATGGTCGGTGAGAAACAGCATTGTGTGTGTGAGTCTTCCGTATGGCGTTTGCAGGGTTCATGGGTGTCGATCTCTTTCTCTCGGGCACAGCATCTGGAATGCTTTGTGGTGCTCTTCTGACCTGTGCTCTTCTCCCTAAAGTAAGGGATTTAAAAAAAAAAAAAAAAAAAAAAAAAAAAAAGTGTGACACGGGAGGTTGGTAGAAGACAAGAAAGATGATTTAAAAGATTTTTACCAAGCCAGTTAAACTCTAAAAACAGTGTTTAGTTAGCATTTCAAGACCTATAAGAATACAGGTAGTAAAGATGCATCAAGCTAGGCATTAACAAAGAAATTTTCAATACTAAAAAAAGCTGGTAAATGAGTGACACCAGTAGGAAGACTTTACTGGTTATTTATATAGATAGTGCTTTTATGATTTTTCCAGTTTATAAGCTCAAACACTAAATACCCAAAATCAGGTGTTGCTTTTTAGAAGAGCACTCAAGCATGATGCAAAGGTCTTCCATATAATTAAAACATCCCCCACGAATACCTAGGGATACCAAGTCTACACAATTAATTGCCTCACTACCAATGCTTGGTGTTAATCACTCAAATTACATCACATTTTAAGCTGAAACGTTCCCCTTTTATTAAATAAACTCATTTTTTTCAGAAACAATACATCAAAAATTTAACAGTTCTTGGGACCATGGCCAGCGAAGTATTAAAACAACACGGCCTGCACAGCATTTTGGATCAAATTCTATAAAAAGATGTGTTTCTCAACTGGAGGAACAACGCAAGCATTTGCAAGCGACGTATGCAGATTTTAAAAATAACACCACCTAACCTGAATCTCAGTTTTCCAGAAAAAGACCCAAACTTCTCTAATCTGTGTTTTTAAATAGCGTTGCTATAGGACGGAAAAAAAAAAAAAAAAGATTCATCAGAATATTATGGAAAATCATTGCAGTAAATATTGTTTGCATCCAGCAGAGGATGTGACACAAACCAGGCATTTTTCTGAAACCAGCAACTTGTATCTGGTACATGAGGGAGACTTCATGAGTACTGATGAGGAAATCTGGAGCTTTCTTTCTTTGATCAAACACACAGAGACTGAGCTGTGCTTATGTACTGCTTGTCCTCGGGAACAGCATTTTGCAGTGGAGGCCAAACCGTTATAACCTTTCCACCCTGCATGTTCCCTGGACTTTGCTCTTCTGGTTTTCAAGAACAAACCTAACCACGCAAACACACACAGTTAAATTTTTAGAACAGTATGAACTGGCCAGTTGTTTACTGAACACATTACAAACGTTTTGACAAGTTAAATTCAATGTAGATACACGAACCCCTTGCACAGCTGACAGTGTAAGCAGTAGTCAAACATAACACCTCCTGAAGTCACGTCTCTGAATCACTTTTAAAAAAATTAACTGAAAACATAACCAAGCATTAACACAATTAACAACACCAGTTCCTAATTTGTATTGCATGAAGAATGCATGTTGCAAAGTCACCCCCATGCCCTACCAGCAACTAGACCTGTCCTACCTGAGCTTCCTCAACGCCAGTCTGAAACCAAGGCACCCCCAAATATCGTAAATGCCTTACCGCCAGCCTTCAGACCCCTTTATTTAATGCTAAATATTCACTGAAGATCTATTTGAACCACCAGCAAGAATCACACAGGTCATTCACACGCAAAATAGAACTTCTCCAACGAGGAGTTTTGAGGCACAGGGAAGTGGCTCCTCTCACACTGCTGTTAAAGAGTTGAGACAATACCAGAGAAGCATTCCCACCTCCATGTCCTGGGATCAACCCATGCCAAGCTCCATAGTGTCAAGGCCACATACACTTAGTTTTGTATCCCCAAAAAGCCACGATGCTGGCTTAAAATGTTCTGCAGTAAGCTGAGGCAGAGCAAGTGTTGCACCATCACTGTCAGGGACGTCCGTGCTGATGGAGGACTGCAGCCACAGCCAAGTGAGAGCCTGTTTTCCTTCATGAAGATGGATGTACCTGGTTCAGCTCGCTGCTGTGGGCAGGACCTGTACTACTGAGTGCCTATAAGGTGGATGCTCACCTTGCGTCTATTTGCAGCCAGCTCCAGGCTCCTCGGGGAAACGGTACTCAGAACAGTTTAATAATGAATGATACCACCTAAACGCTTTTTATTTTGTGGAAAACAATGAAATCCGTGGGAAGATGCCAACATTACCTTACTTTAACTTTTTTTTTTTGTGTAAAAAATAAATGATGGTCTTGTAACAGTTGCTTATTAATGACCAAGACATAAAATAAATAAAATTTAACCAGCATTAGCAAGTGAGAAAAGCAGAGTTTTTCATCTTAAGCTTAGGAATTTGTGTATATATGGGAAGGAGGAAGGACTAGAAGGCTTTCTGGGGGAAAAAAAGGCTAATGCCTAAATGCAGCAACAGGAGGCTGCAAATCTGTGACACGAGGACAAGCTACCTACACCCGAGATCTCTGAACATGCCACCTTTCACAAGAATACATTGAAAAGATGAACTACTGTGTTTTAAAAAGTTACAGACATCTAGTAAAAAAAAAAAAACAAAACAACCATACCTAAAAGTGGCCGACCAGGTTTAATAAACTTTGCAGTTTGATTGCGTGAATCCTCTTCTGCTTGGGCCATGCGCTCTCCGGTCATCAGACAGGAAACACTTGTTGCACACACCGTAATTTTATTCTGTATTACTTCCAGGCAACTGAGTTGCGAGACTCCACAACTACAAAAACATTGAAAAAGGTTGAGCCCAAGCACTAGTTCAGATTTAGAAGTACGGTTGTACCAGGAACTTTAAAACCTGTGTTAACAGGTGAAGAAAAATATTTTCCAGTTCTGATACCTAGCTAGGGCGTAAATGTATTTCAGATTGCCTTCATACATCCAGTCATATCAGTATTACCTGCTGGTGTAGTTAAAATTTCTTCACATAACAGTACCTGGGAGCCTGGCCCAGGGTAGTGCTGGCTGCTGTGTTGGTGACCGTTGCCATGACAACTACCAGGACAACCTAAGCAGCTGCACTGACACCCTATAGGCGGGCAGGTCCTGTCTCAAGGGGTATCCATCAGCTGCTCGACTCCCAGCTCAGCGTAAGTCTCCTCTCCCCAGCCCAAAGCAGCCAGTGGTGGCCCCAGGCCCTGCGAGGCCTAGGGAGGGCAAGTCGGCCTCCCCTCCAGCCCCGGCCTCCCCTCTTCTTGCTTTCAAAGACGTCCACCCTCCTCGTCGTCGAGACGACAGCGCCGAGGAGTGCTTGCGGTCCACCCACCTGCTCCTCTGAGTTTTCACGTTTGACCAGTGGCACTCCAGAGCAAAACTTGCACGAGGGGAAGGAAGGCAAGGTCTCCTCGATAGTGTCAGGGTGCGCTTTGGGCTTTGGGAGGTGTTTCTGGAGAAGCCAGGCCCTCCGTGGTCTGTCCAAACACACGCCCAGCCAGGAGGGCACCACAACGGACTAATGGCTGCTTCGTTTGAACCAGCCTATCGCTGCTCTTACATAACAAGTATGCTCTGCAGCACCCACCACTGCAACAGCTCTGACCAGAGAAAAGGTACCAGCTTTAGCTAACCTGAACGAAAACCTTTAACCGCCCTGAAACTCCCCATCAAAACTCCCTGAGAGGAAGGGTCGAGATTCTCGCACCTCAATTTACTACTTTCTTTCAGAAAGTCACCAAGCCACTGACCAACACCTCAACATGATACAGCTACAGTTTTGTCCATAGCCTAGAGCTCTGTACTGATTCATTGCTCCAAAATCACTGCATTTACGATTAAAAAAAATAGCCTTTCTTGTCATCTGAAGCACAGCTTTTACCCGTGGCCCATCTCCTTGAACGTCGCTGCCTTTATGTGCTTTTTTACCACAGGAACGGCTGAGCACTGACCGAAACACTGTGTAATCTCCCTCCTCAGGTTGGGCATTTTCAAAATCCGAGCCGGTTTTGAAACTAGAGCTGCCTTGAGTACAAAATTAGACTAGACACCCTGCAGAGGTCCCTTCTGGTTTTACTTCTTTTAAACGACTCTGCATGTAACACCACACAAGTTTTGCATTAACTTTGCAGGCACTTTGCACAAACTGAGAGCTGGCTACAAAGGCCCTCACAAAAGCTAGTCTGAGTTAGATTTTGAAGAAGATTAGTAAAACCACATTAAAACTACCTGGGCATGTTACTCAGAATTATGCAGAGCTAAAGCAGCTTAAATTTAATCTCACTTTAAAAATACAGTTTAAATCAACTGAAGGTGCTCCTTCCCAAAGAAGAAAGTGCGCTCAGAGAAGCTCAGGAGAGGCAAGCGAGGAGCGGAGGCAGGACCTCTCACCCCTGGCATGCACTCCTGGTGCTTCCTTTGTGCCAGCCTTGGCAGCTGTCTGACCACTTTCAGATACAGTTTAATAAAAAAAAAAAAAAAAACACCACAAAAACCTCCAAAAGTAACCCACAACAAAAACAACCCAAACCTCCCTGTCCCTACCCCGCCCCCCGGCCCCTGGCTCCCCCAGGTCTGCCACTAAACCGTTCAGCTTTTTGCCAATCCCACCAGCTAAGTGAGTTCACTGAAAGGCCATATTGTAGCAGAAGAGACCGAATACAAGGGGAGAAAAAGGAGGATGGGGATGCTGATAGATGTCCTGTTAGGCAAACAGCTATTAAATCAGCTCATTTTCTCATTGCTCCCAAAACCCGCTACCTAGACCAATATCTGTTTTAAATTGAGGGCAGAAGCTCTCCTGTGACCAAGAACCTGAGCAGCGCCTTTTGAAGACATGTGCCGGTGTGCCTGTTTTGCTATCAGCTTCCCAGATCAATACACAAACTCTGCCTGCGATGTCCTAGTTAACCAAATGGGACAAACAGTTATTCAACACCACTGATCTACATTGATACTACACTGAATGTAATATTCTAGAAGCTGAAATAAACTTAATTTAAAAGCACGGTATTTTCTTGCCATTTCGGTGGATGTTAACACTGTTCACTTTGACTCAAAGGACCAGAACAAGGCGCTGCTGTGTAATGTTTGGGTTCTGAAACACCATGGTCATGCAATTACGGATAAGGTTACTGATTTCTGTGGTTCTTAAAATAAGACAACTATCCATCATGGCCAGCATGGTAGCATGCTGCCAGCCATAATCATGTTTACATATGGTTGTAGGATGGATCTGCTCTAGGTTGGAGATGCTGAGCTCCAAATGCTTTTAAAAATAGCTCTAAGACGTGAAAAAATACTCAAAAGGTTACTTTTTAAGAGCAAAACTGAAAAGAATTCTATGTAAAAGCAAGTATTTATAATTAGCAAGAAATCGTGCTATTGCTAGAAATTAATCTACTGCAGCTTGTCACCAGGAGCATGCTTCTGTTACAGGTTTTCGCTATATGCTCAAAGCCACAGAATCTACTTAAATTTGCCATGAAAGAAAATGTTAAGTAAAACTTACCTGGACTGCCTTTGCTGGACACAGTCAAAGCTTCCCTGAGGATTATCTTTGCCATCATTTGACACGTAGAAGTTAAATTCATGCACTTCATTTGGCTCATCAACTTTGGGAATTTTAAAAACCTAAAAGGAAAAAAAAAAAGTTTATGTAAAAACTTTACTCTACACTTCTCTGCTTGTGATTAACTAGGACCATAATTTTAAATGAGAAATTGTATTTTGAAAATTTTCATATGATTTCAGTCACGTCACGAAAAAGGCTGCTTTAGCACAACTCTCCTTCCAAAAGCAGTGCTGGCTACGTGTCTGTCACAGGGGTAACTCACTCAGCCTCTAATTCATTCGAGTAGCAAGTCATCCTTTCCCATTTACAGGAACTAATATGCACGTCCTAAACTTTAAATGCAAGTGCCCGAGTATAATCAAATGGACCGAGGACCAAAGCTCAGCTAACAAAGCAGATGAAAGCAACTTGCACAGATCACATCCGACACTGCCCCGACTTTGTGATTTATTTGGCCCTAATGAAGCACACATAGGAATCAGCTCCAAGGAGGAAAAAAACCCCCAAAACCAGCAATACCCAGATTACAGGACTGAAAATTCTTGGACTATAAAAGATTAATTTCAACTCCAACAGGCACTAAAAATCTTTTTCTTTTTCTCAGCTTTGGATGCAGTTATTTGCATAAATGTGAAATGTAAATATTTTTTGTAAGTTCAGTCAGATGCAACAAAACTTGATTTCCTTGGCTAATCATTTAGTACAGAATGTGCCGCATTCTGCTAGGACTTAAAAATGTAAATATGAGAAGTCATTAAAGTGTTTATTGGCATAAGCACATTTTTCAACAGGCTGCTATAAAACATACCGAAGCACAAAAAAACTACTGCCATCCAATTACTTTATTCTGAAGGTAAAATCAGCTTGCAGTAACTCTAAAATGCTATTCTTCCAAAATTTGCTTGACCTTTTAATGGAATATTAAATACAACTGACAAAGAAAGATACGTAAAAGCAATTCTTTATACATACATATATTCTCTCAACAGTCTTTTAGAAATCTTTCTCTTCGTATTTTGCTTGTGAGATCAGCCAGTCTTCATAAATGTCAATGTCACTTGCACAAAGTGCTACTACAAAACAATTCCATTGCCATTTGTATTTTAATTATCAGTATAGGCAGAGCTTACCAACAGTTTGGGACAGTGACCGGACATGAAAGAGAAAGACAAGTCACCTGAATGCCATAGTCTTTTAGTTAAGCTTAAAGTGCTAGTATGCTTAGAAAAACAATCTGTGAATTTTATATGAGTGGAAATAAATCAGGTAAGTTACTAATCTTGGATTATACATGCAGCTTTATCTTCTAATGATTATGAAGTTTACTCTATAGTAACCATCAACCTCAGACAACCAAATGACACTAAAATTCATCTACATTCTATAGAATTAACTACCACTGATACAGTGTTTCAGCACACTGATTTTATTATAAATAAAGCAGGTGTGTACATCTGAAATTGACAACCTGAATTCAATCCACTGTAGAAGAGGTACACTTTTAGCCTGATACACTTTTTGAAAAACCAACAAATATGGCCCTCGAGAAATAATAACCCAGCAGAGGGTAGCAAGTAACTGTTGCTGTGTGTGCTTGGACTTCATTCTCAATGCTTATTTTGAGCAAATCTTCATTTTATGTTATCAGCCTAAAGAATGTGTACACATGAAATCACCTTAAACATTAGGAATTTCTGTACCCTAATATTTACATTTAAATTTCTGGAAGAATTGCTGTGGGTATTAAACCATAGAGTGGCTCAATGTGCTTTGATGCAATAATGTGAAGACATAACCTGGCCTTAGAGCACAATTTAAAACATGTTTGTTGCTGTTTCATACACTCTCTTCACAAGGTCTTATTTCTCCCAACCGTTGGAAAAAACACTGATAAAGTATGGAGAAAAACAAATCTTCCTCCTTACACGCAGATGCCTACGAAGCTTATCACTGACAACGATTTCCTAGGAGCAAACTCAAACAGAAACACTGAATGTTTTAAAGGTTCCCCTACATACATATAAAGTCTATAGGAAAGACACCAAAGATGATGCTACTGCAACCATTGCAACAGGTTTCTTTGCAGGAGCAAAGAAAAGGTCTAGAAATTTACTTTCATTCTCAAATTTTTAGGATGTATTTTTCACAAACTTCAGAAGAACAAATGACCATTCCTCAGGCACTCAATTTGGATGAAGACAATGCAAGAACAGTGGGGAAATATTTCTCTGCTAGAAGATTTCAAAAGTGGCAATGCAACTAACCAGAGAATAAAATTTTACTCTTTCATCCTCAAAGTTTTGTTACGTAATCTGTAATGCAGTAGACACAAACCTTTCATTTTTGCAAACTTTTTTTTTGACCTCTTCAGAATATCCACACAGTCAAAAGCTTTGTCCCTTGAACAAGCAAATTTTTTTAAGTCTGTCATAGTTCAGATAACCCAATTTAATAAACTTGGGACAAGCTCTGAGGGGAAAAAAAAAAGCAGCATTTTAAGCTATATTAGATGCAATTAAATCAGATAAGCCTATTTCTCATATTATGGTTCAAAAGCAAAAGCCCAAACATTTAAGAAATGAATGAAGAATAATTACTGAATCTGCAGGTAATACAAAGCTGGCAAGGTCAAAATGCATGAGGATGGAGTTAAAATTCACAGCAGTCTTGAAAAACTGGAATGGAGGTCTGAAAACAGGTGTATAATAACCTTTAAAAGAGGCTATGAAAGGTACCTCCCTTGAAGTGAAAACCCAACATGGGGAAGCAGCTGTACAGAGAATGATCTGCAGGCAACAGCCGAGCATCCAGCAAACCCCAGCCCACAGTACCACACTTTTGCAATACTGGGGTGCACCAACGTGACGACAGCAACAAGGACCAGCAGGCTGAACTGCAGGATGGTGACATGAGACTTGCATGCAGGTCTGGATCTGCTTTCTGGCTCACCAGAGGCTTTCACCACTTCTGCCCACTGCCACCACCACATCGCACAACACTGCTCCAGAGAAGCATGCTTCAGCAGCCAGCCGTGCAGGGCAAACCCCAGCCCCAATGCACTGCCCTCCACCAAATGCCACCCACCAGCTTTGACCTGAAGGGATTTTAAGGCTCCCTCCTTGCTTCTTTGCAAAGACAGCCTCGTCCCCTTACCAATCAAGTAAACTTATCTTACAGAGGCACACTTGTAAAGCACGGGGTTCTTGCTAGGCAATATGCAGCCTAGGAAGTATTCCTAGTATATTAGCACATTTTCAGCAACTAGGGAAAGCAACACTTGAACCAGACAGACCTGCTGACAACACAAAGGTTTGCAAAATCTAATGTCAGCTCAACCACTTAAGATCAAATTTTACCGCTGTTGACATACTTGCTATTTTTCCTGCATCTTGCAAGACAAAACAACACTTTGAAGTAGTCTTTAGACTCAGCAATTTCTGCAAATAAGCGTCCTGTTTTTAATAAACAGTCGTGTTTTCACACTGTAAATTTATATTATATGGGTCTGAAAAGTTCAATAAGCAGTTCAAGGATTTTTGTCTTAATCAGAATTAAGACACTGCATTCAGCTTGAGATAAGTATAGTAGCAAAAAGGTTTTTTTTCTTATTTGAGTGATACTTGCAGAAGGTGGTGAAGGAGCCTTTATTGAGAAAGTACTCACTGCCACCACACTAATACATAATGGAAAATAAACTGCTCTTCACATCAGGAGCAGCACTGTAAGCCTGTTGTCAGCACGTTTGTTTCAGAGAAGTTGCTTTAGATTTGTATTCAGCCTTCCACCTATAAAGAGCATCGTGGCTGGTATGTGGCATGCAATACACTGAAAAGGAATTTGCTATTTTCTCTCACAGGAAAGGGAGATTTCTGAACAGCAGACACCCACCATTACTTATAGCTGATCGACTCTCTTCTTCCAGAAAGTGTGAAGTCCTTCCACAATCCTTCATTAGATCTATTGTACCCTTACCAGCAGCCAACCAAACAGGGCAATGAAAGGAGACAGGAAAGCTCTGAAGAGAAGCTGCATGTTTGCACACCTTATCCAAAGAGTCATTTGGGTTGTGTCCAGACAGGGGAAGAGGCCACCTTGAAAGCTGCTGCATGCGAATATAGCTCACAACAATCTCTCCCCGCGGTTTAGGCACCATCCTAATAAAAAGAACCATGCACCTTTCCCCTAACACTGCCCAACATCAAACATTTTAACTAACTGCTCTGAGTTGGCAAGTCCATAGCCTATGTTTCCCAGAAATGGGAAACAGGGCATGCATGGTTTTTCTCTTCACATGTCCAAACATACTTACCCTTGCACATACTTCTTTCCCCATTTATACGAGAAGCCTGTCAAGTGAAATACTCTCTCCACCACCGCAAGATGCACCTGCATCGGCGGCTGCGCTAAGCCTTGCGCCGGCTCCCCCGTATGTCCCACCGGCCAAGTGCAGCCCTCGTTGCTCTTCCCACCGGCACCTTGCTGTGCAACGGCCTGTGGGCAAGCGACCCAGTTTCAGCTAACACCCCGCTCAGGTCTTAATACCCATCTTAGCTGCTACCTTCTGGCTAAGCCCACAACTGACAAACACTCGAAGAATATCACTGGTCTGTTTCATAAGGTAACTTAAGACAGATAATTTGTGATGGACGAGGATTTACAAAGCAGTAAATAACACCCACTCACGCCTAAAAGTCTTAGCATCCCTGCGATGCTATCGGTACTGCCCACACGTGCTTCTCCTGCAGCCAGGAAACAGTATCAGGAGAATGTAGGTACTGAAGGGGAAAAAAAACAGCTAAGATGCACCGAAGGCATAGGCAGGTGAACACTCAGCAGTCTTCCCCACCAGGCTTGACCAAATTTTCTGCTCTGTAGTGACGAGCTGTTTGTTTCAAACCCTTCCCTTCCACATTTCCTCTCCCCTTTACTTCACAGCTGCCTTCTCAAATGGCTTTACCATCTCTACCATCAACCTCCTTCTTTCCTGCTTAAGAAAAAAAAAAGTTTAAACCCTCCCCCTGTCCCCTGTCTTTAATGAATCCACTGATTAATAGACTTT